CTGGGCATGGCCAACTCAGGAGCCAGCCGGAACTCCGTTCCTGTGCGTTCCTGCCCAAAAATAGCCCTGAAAACATCTAATTGAAATGCTATGTTAAGCTTCGTCCTGGACTAGGACCCAAATACATCCAATCACATTGCTAGCCCAGGAAGCACCTAACCAATCACTATCAACAAGCTCCCTGAGCGGGAATGTCCGTGATTGGTCCTTATGTATGCAACCGTATTGGTTGGTAAATGTCCAGTAGGCGTTGCTACATTAGCCGGGAGAGTTTAAAAGCAGGACAGCTGCAATGTAAAAAGCTGTTCTGGCTATCAGATGTTGATCCGTGTTGGAGTTGTGTTCGAGCTGTGGAATAAAGCTGAATCTTTGCTGAATCACTCTCCGACTACTTTGTTAAGCAAGCGACTTAACAGTTAGAGATGGAAGGAGCTTTATGAAAACCCAGCAGAAAGATGGAGGAGAAGGTTCAGAAGAAAATATAGGGGTGTCTGTCTGGGGCAAGAATGAATCAGCACTATGAACTATTGCTCTCTCTCGAGTGCCTCTGGACTCTGTTCTATTGCTCTCTAAGTTGCTGTGACTTTTCCCCACATACATGTGCACATCACACATCCATGCACCAAATTAATGCATACGTACACACACACACATCTCCACATATATGGAATGCAATGACTGTGAGCCCTAGACAAGTGAAAGAGATTCATGCATAAGGCATGATTTTCTGTTTGAAACAGCTCTGTCTCTTGGGCTGGACAGCCAATTTTGTGTTGGGGGGGGGACCCCCTTACAGACATATAAGAACATAAGAACGTAAGAGATGCCAATGTTGGATCAGGCCAAAGGCCCATCCAGTCCAACACTCTGTATCACACAGTGGCCAGAAATACCAGTGCCATCAGGAGGTCCACCAGTGGGGCCAGGACATTAGAAGCCCTCCCACTGTTTACCCCCCCCCAAGCACCAAGAAGACAGAGCATCACTTGCCCCAGAGCCCCTATCTATACCTTGTGGCTAATAGCCACTGATGGACCTCTGCTCCATATGCTTATCTAATTCCCTTTTGAAGCCGTCCATGCTTGTAGCCGCCACCACTTCCTGTGGCAGTGAATTCCAAGTGTTAATCACTCTTTGGGTGAAGAAGTACTTCCTTTTATCCGTTTTAACCCGACCGCTCAGCAATATCTCCTCTGCCAGCCGTTACATTTGTCTAAGATTGCATTCCATGCCTGCTTGTAGCCCCTTCCAGGTATTCAGTGTTTGTACAATTATTGTGCATAGTGGGGGAGCAAGACTGGCCATGCACTCCATTCCTGGCTTATACTTGTTCATTAGAAAATATGCATAAAGCCTGAACACATAGACAGGAAACCTGTACAATCCTTAACACCCCCCCCAAAAAAAAAACTTTTGGAGATTAATTCTATAATGGTCTCCTCAGGAGTAAGTCCCTCTTGTTCGCTGTGGCTTACTTGTGCATGAATGCAAGGCTCTGGCAACAGTGATCCACGCGTCACCTCGAGATTAGACTACTGCAACGCTCTTTACATGGGGCTGCCCTTGTCGCAACTCCGGAAGCTGCAGCTGGTGCAAAATGCAGCAGCCAGGCTGTTGAATGGCCTCCCCATATGGGAGCACATCCAGCCTGTGCTAAAGGCATTGGACTGGCTGCCAAAAGCATACTGGATTCTATATGGCCAGGGTCCGACATACCTGAGGGACCGCCTTTCCCAAAATATACCCCAGAAAGCACTTCAGTCAGGGTCACAAAACCGATTGGCTCTTCCAGGTCCCAAGGATGCCAGGCTAGCTGCAACCAGGACCAGAGCTTTCTCGGTGGCGGCTCCACACTGGTGGAATGAGCTCCCAGAGGAGATCAGGGCCCTGCGGGACCTTTTGCAGTCCCACAGGGCCTGCGAGACGGAGCTCTTCCACCAGGCTTTCAACGAAGAGCCGCCACCACTACCATCATTAGTAACAACTGAAGTCTGGTGCCTGGCCTATTACTGATAGCCTGTGCTCGCCGACCGAAATTGAGAATGACCAATAAGCTGATATCAAGTGAAATTACAGAATGTATGAGGCCACCTTGATATTCTAAGTCAACTGCTAGCACCTTAATATATTGCAAGTTGGTTTTAATGAATTGTTTATGAACTGTTCGAAAGACTGTTTTTAGATGTGTGTATAAAGGTAAAGGTTCCCTTGCTCGAAAGCCAGTTGAGTCCGACTCTAGGGTTGCGGTGCTCATCTCCGTTTCAAAGCCGAAGAGCCAGCGCTGTCCGAAGACGTTTCCGTGGTCATGTGGCCGGCATGACTAACACCAAGGCGCACGGAACGCTGTTACCTTCCCACCAAAGTGGTACCTATTTATCTACTTGCAATTTCTTGCTTTCGAACTGCTAGGTTGGCAGGAGCTGGAACTAGAGATGGGAACTCACTCCGTCATGTGGCACACCCGGGTCTCGAACTGCTGAACTACCGACCTTCCACAGCCTGCAGTTCAGCGTCTTAACCACTTGAGCCACCGCAGCTCCTAGATGTGTGTGTGTATATATATGTATGTGTATATATATATATGTATGTGTATATATATATGTGTGTGTGTGTGTGTGTGTGTGTGTGTGTATGTATGTATGTATATATATATGTATATATATATAGTTATTGTGCTTTTATTATGTGAGCTGCCCTGAGCCTGCTATAGCGGGGAGGGTGGGGTACAAATCTAAATAAACAAACAAATAAATAAAGTGTTCATAGGACTGCAGCCATAATATCTGAAAAGGGTTATAGTCATGTATGGTATTAAATATGTGTCTGTAAAGATATCCACACATGCATACATCACCAACTCTATGATTCCAAACATTTATTTATTTATTTATTTTATTCATTGGTACCCTGTCTTTCTCTCCAATGGGAATCTAAAGTGGCTGACATGGCTCTCCTCTCTTCCATGTTATCCTCACAACAACCCTGTGAGGTAGTTTAGGCTGAGAGAGTACAACTGGCCCAAGGTGACTCCGTGAGCTTCCATGGCACAAATGGGTGGATTCAAACCCAGATCTCCCAGGTACTAGTCCAACACTCTTCACCACTAAACCACACTGGCTTACATTACCATATTTTCAATAACAACTAATGATAATCACTATATGGCATTGTGTGTAGAATAGCTAGGAGATCCTAAGATTGTTTGGCAGCCAGAAGTTCTAGCTCTTCTAGTGTTATGCGCCACTAGGTGGCGAGCTAGACTTCTTTTCAAGGCAAGAGACCTTTCAGAGGTGGTTTGCCATTGCCTGCCTCTGCGTCACGCCCCTGGTATTCCTTGGAGGCTGCCCTTCCAAATACTAGCCAAGGCCGGCCCTGCTTAGCTTCCGGGATCTGATGGGATCGGGCTAGCCTGGGCTATCCAGGTCAAGGGTTTTCAATAATGAAAAATATAGACTCAGACCTAGACTTTATCATTAAAAGAAATATCACAATAATCTCAGGAATGGTTTTGAAATAAGGGGTTTTTCATAGGAGAGGTTTTGCTTCCTCTTAAATAGGAACTCCTCTGTTGACCTCTGGCATTCTTTGGAGCTCTGACTGCTCCATAACATTCTCAGCGACAGCTCAGGTCCCCGTGATTTAAGAAGCCGGAACGCTTTAAAAATAGCTCAGAAAGCATTGCGAGATTTATGATAAAACACTGGCAACAATGTTAGGCAACTTCCAAATGTGACAACACGGCATTTGAGAGTCTGAAGCTGCACTCTGGACTCTAATGAAATAATTGGGACTTCTGCGTTGAATGGGCTTAGGCATTCCTCTGTTTCCTTCTGCTACCCAGAGAAGACCCTGTTCACAATTCAAAGCATCCAGCCAGACTTGAAGGGAAGTTCCTCAGATCTTTTCAGCACTCCTTAAGAGGATTCTGTGACTGAACAGAGACCCCGTGTGGCAAATGCTGCTGAACGAAATATAAACTATCTCGCGTAGGCGCATGGACGTGCGCATACACTGATACTCTTTTGAAAGCTGGCTAACACGCCTGTTCTTGTTAGCAGTCTCGGCTTGTCACACCCCCACATACAAAGTCTGCAGATGCCTCCCGAAGCGGCGGCGGCAGCAGCCCCTTTGAGCAAGACTCCGAGTTATTATGCGCACTCACCAAGCATGGGTGTTCTCCACCAGACCCAGCCATGCGCTCTGGCCTTCGGTTGTCATGACCTGGCTTGCCGGGAAGCTTCTTCACTCATGGTTTGGACCAAGGAAGAGAAATGCCACAAGATCGTCACTTTTTCTGCCTTCTCAGGCGAATATCCAAGTCAGAAATCATCCAAGGGGGAGAGAGAGTAAAACGCTTGCCAGATTTTCCACTTCAAAATGGTACTGTGGCTTGGCCCTTAACTTTCTGCGTCTCTCTCCCTCTCTCTTCTAAAGAATTCTCTTCCTTTCCCTCCTTTGGTCTCTCAGATGGGCTGCCCCAAAGAAGCAGGAAACCGGCTCCGGGAAACGGGTGCTGTATGCAAACGCCTGTGGTGCAATCTGTTTCCTCCTACTCTTCTGTCTCTGTTGGGCCTGAGTTCTCCCTCACTTTTGTGTGGAGCGCCTCCCCTGACACCTCCCTTAGACCCAACCCTTCATCACGTGAGCTGTTCATAAAACTATTTATGGGCTCTGTAACGATATAAACGATGGGCTCTTTCCACTCAGATTGGCTGCCAGGAACTTAAAAAATATATATTCTACCCCTGGTTTATGTACTGTGTAGATGAGAATTAAGCTGCTATCAGGCCAATAACACTTCCCCACGGAGGAGGTCTCAGTGCGTTAAGGAAACCACCTGGCAATTAGGGGGAAAAGTGAACATTCTTATACAATTCAGTTGGGAAAGTGTGGGACGAACACTTGACGTCTAATACCAGAAGCAATTCTTATCGGAATGACCTCTGAGACGTAGCTCTTTGCACTAAAAAAAGTGACGCAGTGCAATCCTACTCATGTTTACTTGGAAGTACGTTCCCCTGAACTCAACTGGCTCCCTCCCTAGTAAGTGTGTTCAGGATTGTCGCCTCAGCACGCTCGATATCAGCTTTCGAACTTTCTACTTTCATAGGAGCCTTTTTCACACTGTTGAGGGGTTCCTCACTGATCACAAAGGATTCCAGGCAGCGTTTGTGCTCCTCTCCCTGCGCAGGGCCCTGACCTGGCTAGCCCAGGCTAGCCCAATCTCGTCAGATCTCGGAAGCTAAGCAGGGTCAGCCTTGATTAGTGTTTGGAAGGGCGACCTCCAAGGAATACCAGGGGCGTGACACAGAGGCAGGCAATGGCAAACCACCCCTGAAACGTCTCTTGCCTTAAAAACAAGTCTAGCTTGCCACTTAGTGGCGTATAGGACTAGAAGAGCTAGAACTTCTGGCTGCCAGGCAATCTTAGGATCTCCTGGCTATTCTACACACAATGCCAAACAACAATTCATTCATTCATAGGTAGGGCTGCCAACCTCCAGGTGGGGCCTGGGGACCTCCTGGAATTACAGTTGACAGAGATCGCTTTCCCTGGAGAAAACGACTGCTTTGGAAGGTGGACTTTATGGCATTATACTGAGATCCCTCGCCTCTTCAAACCCCGCCTTTCCAGGATTTCCCCCCAAAATCTCCAGGAATTTCCCAACATGGAGCAGGCACCCCTATCCCTGGGGTTTCTTAAGGTAAAGGTTCCCTTGCTCGAAAGCCATTCGAATCCGACTCTAGGGTTGCGGTGCTCATCTCCGTTTCCAAGCCGAAGAGCCAGCGCTGTCCGAAGACGTTTCCGTGGTCATGTGGCCGGCATGACTAAACACCAAGGCGCACGGAACGCTGTTCCCTTCCCACCAAAGTGGTCCCTATTTATCGACTTGCAATGTCTTGCTTTCGAACTGCTAGGTTGGCAGGAGCTGGAACTAGAGACGGGAGCTCACTCCGTCACGCGGCACACTCGGGTCTCGAACTGCTGAACTTCCGACCTTCCACAGCCTGCAGTTCAGCGTCTTAACCACTTGAGCCACCGCAGCTCCATGCTGGAAACTACTGCTGTGGGATTATTGTCACCGCGAGGCCTTTGGGTTTCTTTCGAAGGGGCTTATTTTATTTTGTTTGGGCGTTATGGGGGTGTAAAGGAACTGAAGTGCTTTAACTCTTGTTTTATAAGATGCTGCGATGGTAACGGTTTCTCCTGGCTGACTCCTTCTTCTACGTAGAGAACACAGTCACATCCCACGTGTCCTCTGAGGTGCCCTACGTGCCAGCAAGGAGCAGCTCTGCTGGAAGAGTTCCAGGACAAGTCCAGACACCTTTCCCCGTGGGACAGGACTAACCTCGGTTCTCAGACTGAGGCCAAGTACATTTCACAGCCTGGGTGCCTGCCAGTGGAAAATCAACAAATGCGCTGGAAGATCCCTCAGCGCTCAGAAAGCTTGGGCTGGAACAGAGATGCCACAGCCTCCAGATGGGACTTGGGGATCCTCTGGAATTCCAGCCAATGCTCCCTCTAAGCTGTGGAGCCTTGGTGAGCAAAAATTCTACTTTGTGAGCTTACTGGCATTAAAGCTGTGAGCGAGCAATTCGGCTACTGCATAAATTAGTGTGCTCTGGAGCCATCCCTTCCTGACCTAAGACAAAAACGGAGGCTAAAAAACTGTGAGCTGGCTCACACGAACTCAGCTGAGAGGGAACACTGATTCCAGCTCATCTCCAGACTACAGAGATCAAATTCCCCTGGAGAAAATGGAAGCTTGGGGGGGGGTGGGTGGAATCTATGGCGTTGGTGCCTACTGAGGTTCCTCTCCTCTCCCGGCCCCATGCCCAAATCTCCCAGCCTGGATCTGGCAACCCCCGCCATCCCCTACCGGTGGCCACGGGGGACTCGGCAACCCTAGGCTGGAAGAGTAGGTCCAATATAAACTCGAATGTGCAGAGCTTCTGGAACTCTGTTTGCTAGCCTCAGAATGTTCCGGATATTTCTCCTGAGCAGGAAATCTGAACATTCCATTTTAAGGCAAGTTCGGTGGCACCTAATAATTATGCCGGGTTCCTGGAGGTTTCCTTCACTGCCCTTGGGGACAGCTACTGCTGATTAGAAACTGAGGAAAACTTCCACAAACTCTGCCTTCTCCCTCAGGTGGGATTCCAGAGCCATATTTGTCAAACGAACGACCGCCATTCCTTTCTCATCACACATATCCACATATATCACACTTTAATCCTATCCAGGGGTCATTCCGTAGAAAAAGAGGTGCAGGAGCTCATTAGCATAACTCATTAGCATAACTCATTTGCATATGCCACACCTCCTGTAACCTACCGCTCGGGCTCCACTGGACTGTTTTGGATTGCTAGCTATGGGGTCGGGGGGGGACATGCAGATCTGCCCTCACAGAGGAGGGAGAGCTTGTACCTGAATAAACCTTGGTCTTAAAGGTGCCAGTGGACTGTTGGGGGGGGGGGCTCTGCAACTTACCTGCTGCTTCTTGCTCTGACTGAGGGCTGCTGGGAGCAGGGGGTGGGGCTTGTTGCATGTGCCCACCCCCTGGACTCTTTACTGCCGGAGCCCTGCTCCTGTGCGCTCCTGCAGGAAATGACCCCTGATCCTATCCTTCCTCTGAGGCGCGCGAGGCAGCACATGCGGCTTGCCCCTCCTCCGTTTCACCCCCTCTACGACCCTGTGAGGTAGGATAAGCCGAGACAGGGTTACTTTGCGAGGGTCATGACAAAGTGGGGATTTGAGCTCAGGTCTCCCAGACCGTGGTCTAACATCCTAACCTGCTACCCCACGCTGGCTCTGTCACCTGTATGGGCCTGCCCAGTCTTTAATATCTGTCTCAGACACACTGTTCCGTCAACTCCAGCGGCATTCCATTTATGGAATATGTGACTCAGGGGAAAAGCAAACAGGACTTTGCGGCTCCTTAAGGACTCAGGCTGAACCTGCAGTAGCAAGCGAAGTGGGAATGGGCAGGAAGGGCGTCCACGCACACCCCTTCCCTCTTTGCTTCCTGCTGCTGCCCTCTTACCCTCCCCCCACACTTTCCCTCTTCACACCTTTGCAAAAGCACAAATGGAAAGGCAATCACACCACGGTCCCCAAGATGCAGCTCTGACACCCCTCTTTCCTCCTCCTTTCCCTACTAGAGCTATATGCGGTAGTGGTACTGCAAAGCTTGACAGGGAAAGGGGTGGGGATGTTTAAAGGGTTAAAAGCGGGGCAGCGGTGTGGGAGTGCGCGCTGCCCCAGGCCACTTTGAAAGCAGAGTTTAGCTCCTCCACCACCCTCCCTGTAGAGCAGATTAATCTAGATGAAGGGGGGGGGAACCCCAGGAATACGATGAGTCACGCTCGTCATGCTCCGAATGAGCATGATGTTATGTTCCCCTTTAAAGCAGGAGCTTCCTGATTTCCATGCGGGGAAATCACCCTGTGGGAAAGAAACGGAACACATTTTGTTGTTGTCAAACCTATTCAGTGGGTCGGTGTGATGTCATGGTTACGGCATCAGACTAGGGATGCCAGCCTCCAGGTGGGACCTGGGGATCCCCTGGAATTACAGCTCATCTCCAGACTTCAGAGATCAGTCCCCCTGGAGAAAATGGCTGTTTTGGAGGGTGGACTCTATGGCATTGTACCCCACTAAGAAGTCCCTGTCCTCCCCAGGCCCTACCCCCAAAATCTCCAGGAGTTTCCCAACCTGGATCTGGGGGACCTGGCAACCCTACCAGTCACACACTCTTCACTTAAGTTACCTCACAGGGTTGTTGTAAGGATAAAATAGAGGAGAACAGGACAGCGAAAGTCAATTTGGGTCCTCATTGGGGACAAATAGGGGTAGGAATGAAGTAAATCTCCAGTTCATTCCTGCAGATGGATTTGCGAGGTGCCGTTTTTTCCTTCTTTAAGATGCCAGGCTCATTTTTTAAAAAAATGTTCTTTATGTTTGTTTGTTTTGTTTTAATAGGCCACTTGATTCTGCTTCTGTTTTCATCTGGCTGGTTGAAGGCAGTTTTATTAGCCTGATACTTGTACTTTCATGTTATCGTTTAACTTGTTTTTATTGTTTGATTCACTTTTATCGGCCTCTGTGTGTTACAAATGTGGGGGGTTTTTGTAACCCAGTTTGAGCATTTCCCCCTCTTCCTGAAAGAGACACTGAGGTTAAACCGTCATTCATGTTTTCTGTAGGTCCTATGCAGGACAGGAAGTGAAGCACTGTGTTGGTTTTTGTTTTACAAAAGTTTTTTTAAGAAAATCAAAACTGTTCATTCTTTCCTCAAAATCCAAACAGGAAAACTCCAAAATTCACCTGCAAATTTCAATTCAGGTAGAGTTGCCAACCCTGGGTGGGGAAGTAGGGTTGCCAAGTGAGAATTTAGCCGCAGCGGGGGACTCCATAGAGGGGACTCCGCAGCGGGGGACTCCATAGAAAACCATAGAGTTTTCCCTCGGATGGCCGTGGCCCTGCCCCCAGCATGCCCGGCGTGCCCGCATCACTTCCGGGTG